TAGTTTTTATATAAAGCATATTTTTACATTAATTTCTCTGCTATTTTTTGTCTTATATTGGTGCTGATTCCTGCATTATAATACATTAATATTAAGCAAATAAATTATGCAAATGATGCTAGAAATTTATGTAATTCATGGCATGTAACTAAACTAATTTTAACTTTCTCCATTACTTATATTACCTATATATTATAATATGCAAAAAGAATCTCAAACTAGTTGTCGAGCAATAAATGTGGCACAATAATTATTTTTTTCAACTAACTTAAAACTAGCGATTTTAAAGATTTATGACACCACCTATCGATTGCCACTCCATTCATTTTGTCAGCATGCATCTATTTATATTGCTTTCTTTTAGCTTAACCAATTTTTTAAATTGAAAAAAATTGAAATTTCTTGACAGTTATTGTTCAAAATTCTAAGTTACAATATCTATAAGGTTTTGAAAGAGTCACATGATAGATTTTTATACAAGGATATTTAGCTCGCAGATAATTTTATTAGTAATTTTTTTATTCTTTTGCCATAAATTTTTAGTAGCAAACCTAAATATTTTATATGGCAACATAAATTAAGAGTAAGCCGATTCGAAAATTTTTATTGGACAAAACAATTCGAATCAGTCTGAATCTGAATCAGATAGTAAAGTGGAGTTTTTTTCTTTATCCGAACAACATTATTCTCTTGTAAATTAATAAATCATAATTCTGGAATAATTTTTTAAAAAATGAGAATATTTTTAGAATTTATCGTTCTAAGTATAAAAGCACTATAGTTTTTCCAAGGGAAATAATGGAAACATTTTGCAGTATAAGAATATTTTAAGAATATAAGAATAAGAATACATTTAGCACATTTTTCTCACTTCATCGAGCAACTAATTAGAAGTCATCATATTCAAATGCGAGATTCCACTTGCTTTTTGTTTATTTTGTTTCGTATATTCATGCTATTAGTACTATTTCCTAATTCTCTTCACAATTCTTACAATGTTTATTCGGTGAGCTGCCATTTTTTATTTCCTTACTTCAAATATAGAAATTATCTTTGCATATTCGGTAAATAAAGTGTTAAATAATTCGACAGCGATTAGCTCAAGCTTTATCACTCGTAATTATCCATACTGCAATTTAAAAGATTGCAAAATAAAACCCAAACTTCATTCAAAAATTAAGCAATATAAAGGGAGAGAATTATTTTGCATAACGCCTATTTTATTTCTCACATTACCACGAAATATTTATCCATGTTATCACAGATCGTCCTTCAAGTGGGGATTGCTTGCATTTACTCACGGTTTAACCATTAATAGAACGATATTAGATTATGGTGCTTGAATGCAATAATGATTGAAGAATATTTCGATATTTCACAGATTCGTTTTAGGAAAAAATTTGCTATTTTAAATTATTTTTATAGATTCTTTAAACATTTCAATATGCTAGATTAACTACACAAATGCAGGTTTTAGAAAGAATAGAAGAATCTCAAGTGAAATTCTTGTATCACACATAATTATATTTCACGCAACTGCATCTTAGGTATCCCAGGTAATCAAGTAGTATAAATGATATCAGCTCTCGATTTGCCAGATTTCAGATTTCTACAAATCAGATTTTTAAAAAACTGGTTTATTATAATATTTCGAGTATGATATAATAATACTGAGAATGGCTCAGTGGGTTGTTGCTCAATTGCGAGCGCCGATGTTGAGGTTCGATTTCCCACAGGAGTAAACCTGTCCAAAAATCGGAGTGATGCTGGGGTCTCACCTGTATTTCTATCGCCTAGGGACTTCCTGGCATATTGTCCAGTGCGACAAGCCAGTGATTTAACCAGTAATGGTGAGGGCTCTTAAAAAAAAAAGATATAATAATATAACAATATATTGATTAAAAGATTATCAGTGGCTATGATTTTTCACAAATTTTCAATGTTTTAGGAAAATTTTTGCAAGAAAATTTCATTTTTCTACAGCACTCTCTGTTTTCTATTTCTTCTGCTCTTTTGACGAGTCATTTATACCTATAGCAGGAATTTTTAGTTGGAGGAATGAAGATGGGTCCTAGTGCCATCCCTAATTCCAGAATCTTCTTAATAATAGGTTCACTCGGCAAGGCAAGAGGTCAGGTCTTGACGCTCGAGATGATAATGACCATCATGCAAATTTGAGTTAAATATATATGAATATTTGAAAAATAGTAAGTGAGGAATAGAAACGAGGAATTGAAGAAAAGATGGAAAATTTTTGCGATTTTAAAAATAAAAATTGTGGGAAAAGTTGTCTAATTTTGAATTGGTATCGCTCATCGTTGAACTTGCATTTGCGTTGTTGATTGGTTTATGAAAACGGTAATGAAATGGTACGCCTATTTCGTTATTTTAACTCTCCACCCATCTCTCAACGCAATCCACATCACTAGAATCTATCAAAACGCAACGCGAATTTTTAACGTTCGCCGATAAAAATGGTACAAATCTTGCCAATTATCAAATATTTATCTGCCTGCCTGCGCATTTGCTGGCCCGCCTGACTGCCTATGTCCTAAGGCATAAAATTACCCTCAATATCTGCAATTATCCAATATTTTGAAAGATCACTCATTAAGACTTTTTATTTAGTTTCATTCATTTGTCACATATTTATTTCTTTTTAATTTATTTCTTCATCGTTTCTACCGGTCATTCACCATACAGAACTGTTTAGTTTTTTTATTTTATTATTAATTTGTTGAACAATAAAATTGCGTTGATGTGAATTTTATAGTTAGCAATAACTATATAATTTAATCTTAAATATATATTCTCTTTCATTGTAACCAATTAACCAATTGATTTATGTATAATTTTGCTCATTAATAATCATTAAATATAAACGAAAATACATGGAAAATAATATGGGAGAAAATTTAGATTTTCAAAGATTTCTCAGGGATCTCCCAAAAATTTTAAAACGAATAACGACTCTAATAGCAATTTTAATTGTTGTTCTATCAAAAATAAATCCATTTATATCATTTTAATTACCAGTAAAGTGCGAATTTATAATGTTATAGATGATAATCTGAGGAAAGATTATTTTTTTATTTGATATACATTTCTTCATGCGACTCGTGTTTAAAAGCAAAGTAGTTGAAAATTTTATGCAAGTTAAGTCCATAGCGTTTGATAATTATAAGTTTTTTATGGAACCATTCACTGAAGTCTGTTGAAAAAGACAGCAAAAGCGACAGATATATATTGCTCCTTTTAATCGAAATTCATTTGATAGATTTAGTCAAAAACGGAATTGGGTTGAATATTTTGAAGCGGCCACTGGAGAAAAACGATTCAATGTGAATTAGTTTATATGGGATTCAGGGTGAATCAGATATAAGGTGCTTTATGAAAACGATAATAATTTGTCAAAAATGAAACACTTAAAAAGCAAAAAGGGAGAGAATATTGAAAAAATGGATCTAGCTTCAGAATTGCCTAGGAAAATTACAAAAAAAATTGGTTTTTATCAATTAATAACGAAAAACCATGGCTACAATTTTTAACAATTCTACAAATTTTTTATAGCTACAATTGCTCTCTGTAACAGTGATAACAAATATAATTTTATTTAACCCAAATCCCCTTTCTAATGACTTATTCGCAAACTTATTTTCATTATTAATTACATTTAATAAAGAACATTCTATTGACTTTAATACTACTACTGTTACCATTATTATATTTAATATTATTTAGATGCAAGTAAGAACTAAATTCCCAGGGATCTAGATCTGTTGAAAAGACATTTTTTGGCCTATGAGATTTTTTGAATTAGTTAATTTTCTCTATTTTAATAAGAAAAACATTTGACTATAAACTTAAATTAAGAATATTAAAAATATAAACTTTTTTAAGGAAAAAATTTTAAAAAAATGAATGGGAGAAAATATTCTCTCTTATGGAACTCAATCAGTTTAGAAATGAAGGTTATAAAATCATTGCATTTCCATAATTTACAGAGTTTAAACCTCAGCCGTTGACAAAATTTAAAATTTTTCCATTGTTTCCAAGAAATCTTAGTACTATGCTAGATTTTTATCTTCAGTTGTACATTGGATTTTATCGTTTCATAAATGAACTCGAAATGTTGAAATAGGGTGGAATATCGATATAATTGTTTTACTGTGCGATTTTTACATTATTTCTTCGAATATTCGAATATTTTGAATATTGTCATGATAAAATTTTATGATAAAAGATATACAATGAAATTTAAATCTACCGTTTTATAAAGACGTTGCACTCTGGAATGATAAAAGATCTCATTTTTTGAATTTTATTTCCAGTCTTCAAGGACTAATAATTCAGCATACTTAAAAGTCCAATTTCCAAATTTTTTGCCACAAGTGAGCAGAAATGCCAAATGGTTGTTTCTTAGATTATCATTTCGGACTTCTTTTGCTTTCATCAAGAACTCTGTCATTAAGAAGTTCGAGTTTGCTAAAGAAGTTCTATTTTCAGTCCTCAAATGTCTTTGTCAAAACTTGTCTTATTCTACTAATAGCCAGTCTAGCCAGAGGTATTGGTTACTAGCAACTTATTTTTTTTATTACAACTAATAAGTGGTGTTAATATTCTTTTTTAAAATGAAAATAATTTGAACTGAATATATTTAACGATTTCTCGTTAAATAGAAATTTTATCTTCTAGCACTGACAGCCAGATTAAATTATGAATATTTTATATTTTTACAAGATGGTTGTTGTTAATCAAACTATTAAAATGGATTTTATTTCCATTTCTGCCTGTTAATTTTTTCCATTTATTTTTCAATGAATCATTTTCAATAATTTTTGCAAATTTTATTGTTAAAACTAGACTGACATGCATAGATAAATAAATGAATGTTGCATGCAAAAATTTCCTAATATGCAAAATTCGTGGATCTTATTTATTTTACCGAGGAGTATTTATTTAATAAAATATTTCATAGTTTCACTGAACGTTCAAATGCTATGATTTCTGTGATGAACGGAATCAATGCCTCTTCTTCATTCGGTTTTCCTGGAGGTATCATGGATACGAAACCATTCTATCATAAGTTTGCCGCTGCTAATGTAGGTCCGATTGCATGTAGCATTGAATCAGATAGGAATCACGGATCACCAGTACTTTCTGCAAGGTATTCTTATTATCGCCTCTTTAATTCATTTCAAGAAAAATTATGGTGCACACTTTCAATTCTTTGGCGATTCTGGCGCAAGCAATTTTAATTTTAACTTGCAACAAATATCATCTCCCAGTGTAAACAGTATATGATCATCGATTATACATCAACGTCTGGCCAACTAATAGGACGAACAATTTATCAATAAATTCCTTCTAAAATATATTTAGAGATCGCTATAAACTAAGAATTCTATGTGAATTGTGTGAATTCTGAAAATCCTCTGATATCGAAGAATGATCGTTCTTAATCCTTCAAAAATACATTAGAAGTACTTGAAATTTCAATCAAGTTTTTACTTTTCTTGACGTTTTTTCCATTAATCTATAGTGCTATAAAGCGAAAATTTTGATAAAATTTATTTTTTAAGAATATTCGATATCACTATATTTAAATTGCAAAAAACCTGGTCAACTCGCTTTTAAATAAGTTATTTCAAGCACATTATCACATATTTTCAATACAAACCTATCTAGCCTACCCGGCGGACATCACAGCCACGCAACAAATTCGCAACAATATGCTTATGGATATGATTGGGCATCTCAACAGCAAGCTGCAGCTGCTGCTCATATTTCCGCCCAACAAGCCGCAGCTGCTCAACAAGCTGCTGTTCAACAGGCTGCTGCTGTTGCCGCCAACGTTGCTTCTGTTTCATCAGCATCTGGTGCGCGATTTTTTAATTTTTCGAATTAATGAAATGTAGAAAGATTTTTGATATTTGGTATTTGAATATTTTCAGGCTCTTCAAGCGCAAATTCTCCCACTTCAATAGCAAAAGCAGCTTTTCTTTCTTCATCATCTGCAACTGGTCAGAATTTCTATCCACATCCTCTTTACATTTCATGTTTTAGTGAAAACTAATTCAAGCTAAGGGACGAAAAATTTACTTTGAGGCTCTATCAGCAAAATCAATGTACCAGTTTGTGTGGCGGAATACACTTTAATGCCAGGTTGCTACGACAAAAAAAATTGCTTAAGGAATTTTTGCTTAAATCAATTAAATTTCTTCTCTTATATGTCATTGAAGCAATCATTTTTAGGTTTTGACATGATGAATCCAATGTGCCAAGCCGAACTATACGGGTCTAACTTTCATGCAGCTCATGCAGCTGCTGCAGTAGCATCTGGCCATTCATGGCCGTATGGCTATCCACAACAGTACCCTTTTTCTACTCATCCTTATCCTGGAGCTATGGTAGCTGACATGACTGGTTTAACAGGTTAGTAAATGCTTGTGAGAATTTATACATTCTGTTCCATTCATTTCCCTTCAACAAAATTTCTTTTTATAAATATGGTTTTCTTTTTATAGATATGGTTAATCCATTTTTATGAATGTTGCTTTAGATTTTTTGGTTTTATTTTTCATTTTATTTGTTTTTTTTTCCTTTTTGATCCATTTTGTTCCTTTCTATTATTAATTCAAATGTTGCTTCTGTTTGGTATCGAGAAGTGGTACGCACATTTAGCTTGCAAACTACTTTATAAAGCAAAGAAATGTAGAAATACTTACGAAATTAATATATTAAAAGGCAATAAGCATCTGGTTTCAAGTATTTCGCTTAGTTCTCTTCTCTTCATATCTATCCAACAAATTTTGCGTCAAAAGTTCCGCGCAAAATGAATTCCATAAAGAAATTCATAAAATTTCTTTTACTGAGACTCCATGCCTAAAAATTGGCAATTTATCTTCCCATATTTTTGTTTATAAACACATATAGTTGCCAATAAGCGATAAAATGATGTTTCCTCTCCTTGAAATCCTTTGGTCTAAACTTCAAGCTGGAATTCTGAAAATTCTTATTATATTATATCTATTAAAAGTTTTAAGAAGAAAAGAATCATTTTAATGAAAACGGGAAACGATAAACAAATGTGGAGTTTTTTTATGCAGTAAAATCGGAAGTATTACGGTATTTATGAACTTATGCTCGTTATTCCTTTTATCTAACTGTTTCTAATTTTTCTCTTGGACTGAAGTATATCATGCTATTATGGTATGAGCTAGGCTTTTACCAAGGAATTGCTTCTCTCTCTTTTAAGTTCCGCAAATTCTTTTTTTATAAATAGTTAAAAATATTTAATATCTAATTAGTCGCGAAATAATTTAAAAGCTTTGCCAATAGCTCTGCTGGTTAATTTCACGGCAGAAATTTTTGTTAGGAATTCAATGGTTAGAAACACAGGTAAGTTAGCAGTACTGAACATAGATTTTCGTAGAGGGTGAAATTATAGCACCAGACGTCCGAAATCAAAACACTAAGCCATTCGATGTGATTTTTTCTAATTCAAGTATTAAGATTGTGTTTTTTTATTTAAAATAAGTGTTATTGATTCTTAATTGAATTAATTAAAAATTAATAAACATGAAAATTTTAAAAAATTGCAGTAGCTGGTGAAATTTCTGACATTTTTGAGAAAAATACAAAAATCAAATACGAAAAAAAATTTATTTATTCTTTTCTTTAATTTAATAATATAATAAAAAAATATTAAGAGGGAAATTTATGAGGAATTGTAGAATTGTCAAAGTTTTGATCGACGATTTGAGTGAATAAATTACAGAGATGTCATGGCGGCTATGGTTATAAATTGATATTATAACAGTGAACAGATGCTACCGAAAATTGATGGAAAGATAGATATTTCCTTTCAAATTTTATTATATTATACTGTAATGCGTTGATTAAATAGCGGAAAAAACCGAAAAATATTTGTTGAGTAAAGTGCAAACAGATGGAAAAATTTAGAGACCTTGGAAGTGGGATTATAGCTATCCCAGAAGGGTATGAACGAAATGATTCAGAAAATGAGAAATTCCGATAAGATAAAGTCGACATTCGACAAAATGAGATGCATGACTTGGCAATGAAACGGATTTTTCATACTTCAGTCTATCAAATCTCTTAAAACTTGCGTCGATAGCTCTGTGCCAAGATAATTGCAGCTGAGAATCGAGACTTAGAATTCGGCCAATGTACTTCATCGAGCGACAGAGTTGCCTAACCGAAAAAACAAAGGATAGTAGAATGCCTCAGTAGGTTCCCGCTCAATTCGCCGATGCTAAGGTCTCTATTCCCGGCAAGAGTACAAAAATCCGGGTGATGCCGACTTAATTGTATTTCTATTGCCTCGAATTTGTCCAGCTTGACAGGCCAGAGAAGCGAGTTTAACCAGTAATAATTCTTAATAGAAGAAACGGGAGGGATTAGATAACTGTCGACAAGATGAAAGAAATCTTTATCACTTATCGTTAACGTATCGTCGAATTGCATACCAGCGCGAAACTGCTGAAAACGATTTCGACCACTTTATCTTACCTCACCACTTGCTCCAATTTTTTTCTTTTTTCACATTTCATCTCTTTTATTACTCCACTATCTTTATATCTATAATAATCTCTATATTTAATAATATTGTATTGTAATACTATTCTTCAGTGATTATTACCATTTAATTGCGATCACTGATGGATAATTTAAGGATTATTCAGAGATTAAAACATAGGTTTGCATAGGTCACGAACTTCGATCTAATATAAATTATTGTGAAAAATATTGCAAAATATTTTAAAATATTGTGAAAATAACTAATAAATGAATTATTAGGATTGAAGCCTAAGATATTTTATTTTTGAAATGCCTGGACTTATAATAAAATTTTTTCAAAATTTTTCACGAAAGCTAAAGCTAACGAAAAATTCCTTTAAATTCCTTTGGAGAATTTTTATTATAAAGGCCCTTTATAAAAATATTGTTATAATGCTCTTTATTATAAAATTACATAATTAAAAACACTTCACATTCATTGGTGATTCATCTATCTATTTTTCTATCGCACTACAACTTACAAGAATAATACTTCTACTAAATTAAGTTGATTAATTTTCTAAAGCTAATTTTCTTTTTAAAAACTAATTACTAATAATGGAGTCAACCTAACCAGAAATAAGCACTAAGTCACTTATCGTCACTTACTTCTATCATACCAGAAGTCCTTTATAAGACAAATCTGGTTGAAATAGAAGGAATTGTACTATGGCACCAGAAGTTGAACCGGGAAAAAAACGTAAAGTAACTGAGGATTGGAAGATGGAAGAAGATTAAAAAAAAAATTTTTCTATCTTTTTATTTATTTTAAATCCGGATGAAGCGAAAAATTATAGTATAAGATAATTCATTGCTTCATTCTATGACTGTTAGTGCCGAATTGCTCCACTACAGTTCCTGGAAAGTATTATCCAACAGTTTCAGCACTTTTTTTAGCATAATTTGAGCATTACAATCACCGTCATCGCTATCGTATACACATAGAAATCGAAGAAATATGAAAGGCTTGAATGATCGGATAACCGATAAAAGCTTTTCTGTTGGTCCATTTGCATAGTAAATAGAAGGAGAAATTTTCATCCAAATAATAATGATTCCATTCTCAGTAAATTGATTTCACTGAATTATAAACTATGAAATGCTGAACATTGTCGGCATAACGGACAAACACCTTTTATTGTACTTTAATAGCTATGTCAACGGCTTTTAAGTTGGCCGACAATTTTTTTTCGTTTGAAATTTTTGAAAGTTCTCAAATTTCGACCGTAATTTCACATTTTATTTTTCAAAGAAGTAAGGAAATGTTTAAGCAAAAAGTGGAGACTTGTACGTAGAATGTGAATATTTAAACGGCGTGCGTGACAAGATAGAAACCATGATAAAACTGCGGTAGCTTGGGCGATAAATTTAACAGCTCTAATTATGCTTGAATGTGATAGGAATTTTTGCTACAAAAATCGTCGCTCCATGCAAAACATAAAAAATCGGGGAAAAATACAAAAAATAAAACTACAACGACCGAACGCACAGAGCACTTCTACTCTACTTGTTATGATGTTCTGATTTCTTATGAATATAAATATGAATACAACGAGCAATGAAGAAATGATTTTAAGATAATATCGATAATATTGTTTATAAGTTCAGAATTTCATTTGATAAATTTTTATTTTAAACGTCGATCGTCAATAATAATTTTGCAATGGTCCGATTTTGCAATAATTAGGTAAATAAATCTGAGCTAAATAATTATGTGAAACTTCCAACTAATATGTCTGTTGAAATTTTATTTCTAAATCTAAGTGCTTAATATGACAACAAGTGCATGGTTTGGAAACAAATAAATAATAAATTGAGAATGACAAATAAAAGAAAAAGCTGTATAAGATTTTCATGCACATTAAGCTTATTAATGCTCAGTCATTCTTTTCATCGCCAAAAAAATATTTTCATTAGGTCTTTCCTATCAATTCATATTTTCGTTACAGTCATAGCCAGGATTTTTGTTACATCGCTGTCAGTCATTTCGTGATTTTTTTTTCCTATATTTCAGTGCCAAACTATTTATACCCATTTAGTGAAATTGCAATCAAAACTGGTTTTGTGGCACGAATAAATCTAAGAGATTTTACTAAATTTATCATGGATTAACTAGTCCTTCATCTAATTCAATAATCTCTAAAAAAACGAGAAAAGCAAGTTCCTCATAGGTTATTTTATATCAGAAAGCTGTAACCATCTTTCGTTCTTTTCCATCCATACCTTAATTTAAGTATCAACTAATCCAATTAATTAAACGGTGGTGAATTGTGGGTATCTGATTTTTTAATTTTGAAAATCTTAAATTTACTTCAAAGAGATATTATTTTTTGCAAGTTTTCGTTCAGAAGTTTTAGTTCATTTCTTGGTTATTAATAATTCGGGATTTTCTATGTATTCATCAATGAATTTAGTGCACTTCTCATTTGTCCAAAAATGATTGTTCATGGATAAATGATTGATAATTATTATCACAATTATATAAATTGAATTCTATATGATAAGAAAAAATGAATTATTGCTTAAAACATTAGTTAATTATTTTAAATCGTTACCAATTTCATTCGATTAGAATATTACCACATTACTCACTGATCACGAATTTCAAAATTGTGAAGCTTGGCTTAGAGCGAGAAGTAGTCGGGTCGGTATATCCATGGAAGACTTCCATAAGATCTCTGTCAAATCTTAGCAGAGTCCCTTACATAGGGATTATTGTAATTGAGGAAAAATTTAAACTGCGCTGTTCTTTTAATAAAACGAAACAGGATAGAAGGCTTTAAATTTGAATTACCGTACTAAGATGCAGAGTTTCGGTTTCTGATCGACAAGAATAAATCTATTTCGTGTGATTCGA